CCTCACCCCCCCGCGGCTTCACCCTCTGCAGCTGCAGGTTTAATGTCACTCCAACATGTAGTCCTAAATCTTCCTCGTCTCCTGGAGTCGTAAACGTGGAGTTTACGACAACCCGTTGACAGATGTTTGACTTTTACCGTCTTTGCGAACAAACTGCTGTTAATTAAGTCAACGATTTAGAATCAGACCGAGCGTCGGATTAGCCCGGTCCGTTGTTTATAAACGATCTGCGGCTGTGATTTCAGGACAGGTTGGTTTGTGTTGACGACTCACTCTTTGTCCACATTTGCAGATGGGGGACGGTGACGGGGGGAAGAGACGGCAGCAGAAGGAGGAGAAGGAGGAGGAGGAGGAGGAGGAGGAGGAGGAGGAAGGAAACAGTGAAGGGTTCGTCATCCCGACGTTCTCCGACAAGGACTCCAACATGGAATCTAACTCCAGAGGGAGTCAGCGCGGAGCCTCCAGTGGAGCCGTTCCTCTGCTCCCGTTACTGCTCCTGCCCACGCTCCTCCTGGACTGGAACTGAGGGCGACCGCCGGCTTCTACCATCTCATTCTACACTTTTTTTTTTTTTAAATTTTTTGTTATGTTTTTCTTTTTGAACTTTGACAACCATTCCAGCACCACGACGGACGTTTGTGAGGAAGAAATGGAAATGTTGATCCTTAAAAAGAAAACATTATTTTACCGCCGCCTCCTTTAGTGATTTCAGATGCCGGTCGAGTCCTCGGTCCGACGCCGGTCTCCCATGTGAAGGGAACAATGAAAGCAGAGCACGGGTGAACGGAGAAGTGCTGTCTGGACCAAATCCCTGGTCTGCGGCCCACTTCACTCATCGCTCAAGGCCACGATTCACCGTACGTGATCCCAGAAACCCAGACCGGTCCCGAGCGCGGCCGCTTTTGATTTCTATTTCATGACTCACGGTCCGTCTCCCTCTCTGCTGCCCCCTCGGCTCTTTTCCTTCTCTGGCTGACTCAGATAATCCGCTCTCCAACAAGCCGATAAGAAACTATACAAAAAGTTTAATTGCTTCGCAGAACAAAAGGCAAAAATTAGAAAGACTTCATTAAGAACCGAGTTTCCAGCCGGAGCCGTGCTTTCTTTTTTTTTTTTTTTTTTTTTTTGCACATGAAAGATCTTTGCTTAATCAGTCTTTGGTTCTGCTCGCCACAAAAACCTATTTCAAGAAAGACGGTACACCTTTAAGAAAAAGCAATTAAAAACTAAAACGTGTGAGTCAGCAACGCACTCGAACTCAAACTAAAAAAAAAAGACTTTTTAGGTTTTTCAGTGACTGATACGTTTCTTAATTTCTCAAACTTTAAACATTTAAGAATATAAAACAAAGATGGCCGAGTGTTGGGTCTTCGCTTGATTTCAGGTCTTTTTTTGGGTTTTGGATTTTCGAGAATCAAATCCAACTCCTGTTTGAGTCGTGGCTAAATCGATCAGTTTGTCTCCAAACACGATAGCCGCAATAAAAAAAAGGAGCTTGAAACGCCTGTATCGCGCCGCTTGATCGTTTTTGATCATTGCTTCATTCACGTTTGTCGCAAAAAACGAAATACGAAAACCGAAATAGTCAGTAACGTAGTAAAACAATGTCGCAAAAAACGAAATAGTCAGTAACGTAGTAAAACAAGTCTCACAACTGACCAGAGAGCTCCACCTGCTGGATAAACTTTTCCTCCAATCTTTTCACAAACTTCTCTGCTTAACTTCAATTTCGTTTCGCAAACTTCTCTGCTTAACTTCAAGGAAGTGACGACGCGATATACTCGTCGTTGATTGGATGTCGCAGCATGAAGCCGTCTGAGAAGTTCCGTTTTTCCAACTCCATTTACGTGGCGTCAGATGCTAACCTTTGATGTATGCTATGCTAATGAGAGCGTTGACGAATATTCTCAGAATGTTATTCACCGATCTACGGCTAATTAGCCTTTCTGAAGGGTACCAACTTGTTTTTAGAGGTTGACGCGGGTCGTATCCTCATGAACGGGATCAGACGGCGGTCGAAGCGATGATGAGCCGAACACTCGGCTTCAGCCGTGTTCAAACTGCAGAGAGAGTTTGTCTGGACGAAGGCACAGGGGAGGAGACGGTCAATTTGCCGCCGTCTTACTCTCTGCCTGTTCTTATCCCTCGGAGATGAAGGATTTTTTTTTTGTTGTTGGGATGTTGCGGTGGCGGCGGCGGCGGCGGCGGCGGCGTGGACACAGGAGGCCATAAAACCCGCTGTCGGCTTTGATCATTGAGCAGCACACGGGGCCATTATCTCTGCCTGAAGAATCTGCTGCTGATGTTAATGACTTTTTTATCTTATGGCTCATTTTCTTGTGAAATTGTGCAGCTACAAGGGCAAAGGTAAAGATATAAATATATATATAAATATATATATATATATATTTATATATTTGTGGTAAAGTTTTAGGAAGAAACAAGGATCAACTTTTTCTCCTTTTTTTTTTTTTTTCTCCGTTTGATGAAGTTCCGCAGTAACAACCTTTGTGGAGTCAGATCCAGATAAAAGTGCTCGACCCTGAGGTCGCATCTTTGCATGATCAAACCTCAGACGTCGTTCTTCAAGTGCTCGTGCATCTGAATTCGTCGTTTCAGTGTCACCTGAGGAGAAGACGTGGTTCGAGACTCGGTGTTTTTTTCTTTATTTATTTTCTGGTTCTGTGGACGTTTTGGTTAAAGTTAGAGCGTTTGATTGGAGGGAGGCTACCAGAGGCTGGAGGTGTTTACACTGATCCACCGCGCGCGCCTCACTTCTCCATATTCAGCTTTAACGATTTGTCACGTGTCATTTCTGCAGCGTCACCGTTTACTTTCTCACACGCGGCCCAGCCGTCGAAGGTCATCATTTGTTGGGCCACTGCCACAGTTGTGTCCCGTAATGCAGGGGTGCCCAACATCTGGTCCGGGGACCGGAGTCGGTCCGAAAGTCATTTGGTACAAAAAAAATGTACCTCAGTTTTACTTCATTTAAATCCTC